TATTCCTAAACAAGTGCATAAAGCTACAGAAATAAGATAAGTTAAAAAAAAAGATAGGGCAGAAGACACAATTCTGGAATTTTACTGCATTTAAATGTGCAGATAGTTTAAAGATGCATTGTGCAAGCCTGGTGTGTCTGTCTCTTCTTTGTAAAGCAACTGAATTCAATGGTTGGCACAAAATATCATCTGCAGTATTTGGCCTGAAATACCAGATTATTTACCCTAAAGGCATGTAGAGAGAAGATATTGAGGTGAATCTGAATATGTAAAGGAACCTTTATAAATAGTTCCAAAAACTTATATTTTTGTACATTAAACAAACTATCAACATTTATTTTGGAATAAAATGCCTCATCCATGCAGTTTTATTACTGTCCCACTGAGCCTCGGAGCAGCATTGGCCAGTATGTGGCTGATTCAGTCTCCTGAAACATTCTGGAGTGTATTTTGTGTAATGCCCAAGTTGCATGGTCCTTTGACCTTCCCTCTGCCAGCCCACTGCCAAATGAAGATATTTGTATGCAACGAGAATGGAGTCCAACACCCAGTGGGCTTATTATTTACACTGGCAGCATTAAGGGCTTTTTGGCCCTGTACATGTAGAAATGTATATATACTTAACACAATTTTCATATGTGCCAGATTTGATCCTCTACACAACTTGTTCAAAAATTCTTTTAGGATACTTTCCATGGTTTGGATTTGATTTAAACTATTGAATTGAAGCCCAGAATACACAGGCTTTGAAATAAAGAAACCAGCTGAAAAGAACCACAGTCTCTTTCTCACTCTCACCTACTCTCATCTAAATCTCAACTCCTTAGCTGTTGGCTGAGTTGCAGTGATGTCACATAAGCTTAGAGATCGGGACTGTGAAGTGTCTGAATTTAGTTTATTGCGCTGAGTACTTATGCTCACTGAAAGAAGACCAAAAGAGTTTCAAGGGGAAGGAAAGAAGGAATGCGAAGTAGGATTGTAATGGGTTGGGATGGTAATGGGTGAGGAAGTGGAATTTATTTTATTAAATTTATCCCCCACCCTCCCTGCCGAGCATGCTTAGGGTGGCTGCAAGCGGTAACCAGTGAGAGGGGTGAGAGAGTGCCTCAGAAGTCACTGGGGAAGGTTGCCTATTAGCAGCTGCTGGGTGAGGGAGGCACACTAATTATTCGTTATCCAGAATATAGCCATGCAGCACTCGTGACGAGAGGAGCAGGAAAGGAAACACAGACTAGAACAACTCTGGCTCCAGCCTGCGGTGAATTCTGGAGCAGCTCCTTTAGCAGATAATATTTTTAGCCGACGCTGCTGCTTTGTAACTAAATATGATACATCAAAGGAAGAGAGTAGTCTTTGGATTAAAATAAATTTTTAATCACATAGGTCAGAACCAGGGTGGGTGTTCTTGTAATCATTTCTGAATACCAAGAAAAGTTATGCAATGTTTCTGAGGCTGGCATTGTCTGCTTGCCACTGACCTTGGATGTTGAGCATTCTGTTCATAAGATGAGCTGATATTAATAAACAAGGCCATCATTTCCACCAGCAGCGTTGGGATTAATATGATGTCTCTGTGCTATACTAGATACTAACACACTTACTAAAGGCATATTCTCTGGTCCTTTTCAAGATGGGGCCTCACACAGCCTCAGTCTAAAAGTTCAATATAACCTAACTGTAAACCAGTATTGAATTCCAAAGAATACTAGCCAGAGAGTTATTGATTATGCACATATAGTTATTTGTACACGTGAATGCTTTGGTTGAGGTATCTTACAGCCAGGACCCAAATTAAAGTGCCATTTTCAGGGAGAATAACTATCCATGGAAAAATGTATAATGAGCATCCTTTGGCTCTTAAGGTAGTGTGCGAGGTGTTCCCTTGTATAATGTACCTGGAATCTCAAACCAGGAGCTCTTGCAGCCACGTGGCTTAGAACCTCTCTCACTGTGCCATTGCTACAGCTTGAAGGTAGAAGAGATGCTGGTGTGATCACTACTGCTTTGCAGCACTTGTTTATGAGTAGCTGGAGGGCATGCTACAAATTTCAGGCCCTGCAGGATCAAGTGACTGGTCTGCATGCCTCCTTCCTGACCTTATCTAACTGCTGCCTCTAGTCTGGCTTCCTAAAGTCTGGGCAACCTGAGCAATCTTAGTTAAGATACATTGCCTGAACCTGCCTGAACCTGCAGAACTGCCACTAATATTAACATCTTGCAGCACATGTATTTTCCCTTTGGGAAATAATTAAGAAGGGTTTTAAATGTTTCAGAAAATAAATGTAGCTATCATTGGGTACTCTTATGATGTCACATTCTCCATAGATAGGTAGTCCTACTTGACGGAGGGGTTTCTCTTTCAGTTCAATTGCTTCTCAGACCTATGTCTGCTCACTTTCATACATATGCAAAAAGATCTAGCAGAAGAGATAATTTATTTATTTATTTATTTGGCTTATATCCCGCCCTTCCACATGGGCTCAGGGCGGCTAACAAGAGGCACTTGCCATACATGACACTAAAACCAGATAAAACAATCAATTACATTTACATTTTACATTTAAAATCGGTGCTCCCAACAATATATCATCTAAGACGGGGACTCCAATGCAATGTTTCAGAGGTTCTACTCTCTCTTCTTGATCGGTCTGCACTATGTCCGTTCTTCATTCCCAAGGCCAGTTCGCATTGCGCAGCGCGGTGGTGGTACAGTGATGGTGGCGGCTCCTACTCAAAAGCCTGGCGGAAGAGCTCCGTCTTGCAGGCCCTGCGGAACTGCATAAGGTCCCGCAGGGCCCTGATCTCCTCCAGGAGCTCATTCCACCAGATAGGAGCCGCCACCGAAAAAGCCCTGGCCCTAGTTGCAGCATATTTGACATCTGTAGGGGCTGGGACAGCCAGAAGATGTTTTGCCCCCGACCGTAGTGCCCTTGGGGGAACATACGGGGAAAGGCAGTCCCTTAGGTAAGCTGGACCCTGGCCATATAGAGCTTTTTACGTAAGAACCAGCACTTTGAAGCGGACCCGGTACTCTATTGGCAGCCAGTGCAGCGCCTTCATAATGGATGAGTCAAACTCTTCCTCTTCTCTAAGCAGGGAACAGAGACTGGAGGACTTCAGGCTAGAACGGATCCAGGAATAATCTCCAGGAACAAGCCCCAGGAAATGCTGCTTTGACCTGGCGTGGCCTGGTCAGTGGGTAGAGAAACAGATATGATAAAATTCCTTTCAACAGGAGGGAAGGAGGAAAAGCTTTTATTTGTTTTTTAACCTTTGGAATGCGGTTTCCTGGGTTCCATCAGCCCCTTAGGGCCAAATTTTGTGACACAACAGATTGTAGCAGGATGTTGGAAAGTTCACCTCTGCATGCTCCACTCATGCTGAATAGGATCCATGCTGTTATTCATTCCTTCAGATATTTCTTATGGAACAGGCTTCATTTCTGTATTCAGTCTTAGTGTGGCTAAGAGGAACAATGTATAATTAAAGGCAAGGTCTAGAGGACCAGCTGTAGTTTATTCATTGTCTGACAAAAACATCTTTCTCCGTTTGGAATTGTCTTAAGTTTCCTTTCACTGTCTGACATGTTAAGCTTGACCAGAGAGAGCAAAAGGTTCAGAATGCATCTAGCCTACTCACCGTGACTGATGGCCTTGTAATGAATTCGGCTAATAGGAACCAAATCTGATACTGTCAAATAGGATTAACAGCCAAGTTAACTAGCTTGAGCTGTTTCGGAAAGCCAAGCCGATAAAGGTCAGTGGGTTTCTTTTGGTGTCTTGAATAGACGGGTGTCACTAGCATTCCACAATAGGTTTTCAGAGCATTCTGTTATCTTTGGTGGTCATCTTCTCCTAACTGAATTTGTATTCATGCTGTTCTTATTCTTTCCACCATTTTTCTTCAGCTTTATAAATGTTGTACAATTGGAATAGGCATGTGGTAACCTGGACAGAGTCTGCTAGGATCTTTGTAAACTCTGTTGTTTTTTAAAAAAAATAAATCTTCTGTGCTGTTCTCTGTACTGCCAGCATAAACATAAAACCCTGCATGAAGAATTGGGGTGCTTGGTGTGTGTATATTCTGGACTTTTCCACTTATTGATTTTAAAAAGCTATCTTTTCAGGTATGGTTAGAAAGTAACATTTGGTTTTGTGTTTTACTATCATGCTCGACCAATACAGTTACCAAAATTGCCTGCAATTATCCCTTGTTATCCTTGCTTATCCTTCTCCATTTGTCATCTCCACCGTAGCTAAAATATAGCTTGTAAATTCCTCATGGCAGGTATTGCCCCCCCCCCAGCCCCAGTTGTAAAGTGCTGAATTTTATGATGGGATTAATGTAGATGTGAGATAATTATGTGATCACATCTGAGAATTATAGGTTATGAATTTTCTTAATGCGGTTCAAGTGTTCAGTCTAACTGATGGTGACCCAAAGTCCTGGGTGTTGTATAGATTGGTTCATTTTTACTTGTACATTAAATTAACATACCTGAATTGTAAAAACTTAGTGCAGGCTGAGCATTGTCATATCAGAAGATCCTTTCTGCTGAGCACAGTCCTTTCCCTCTTTGGTCTCCTACCATCTCTTCTTGTGCCTGCGACTTGACTGAAAACTTCCCAGTTCAGTCAAGTGCTGATTTGTCATGACTCCAAAATACAGGCAGGTTAGCAAACTGGAGCTCGTTTACTGTTCACAGGTCAGGAATCTGAACTAGACTTAAACTGTGCCTTATGTTGGGGGAGGGTGTGGGCAACAAACTACAGTTTGCCAAGGCATCTCTGTTTAACGAGCACAGCAAATTGGAACTTGATCAAACCGTGAAGCTTTTGATTCAGTTTCACATTCTAGAGAAGGTGACAGGAGCAAGCAGTGTTTATACTCGATTGCAATGTCACTATAATTTGTTGTGACATCTGAATGCAGCTGTTGTGCTGACTGAAGACACTCTTGCCAAAGATGACTGAACTCTTGTTTCCTGCATCTGGACTCAGGTGGATGCTCTACGGTTACGTCTGGAAGAAAAGGAGACAATGCTCAATAAGAAGACTAAGCAGATCCAGGAGATGGCTGAAGAAAAAGGAACTCAAGCTGGAGAGATTCATGACCTCAAGGATATGTTAGATGTGAAAGAACGCAAAGTAAATGTTCTTCAGAAAAAGGTAGGCCTTCCAAGTAAACCAGATTTTGTGCTCCAAGTCTTTAATTCCTGCCATAAAGTAGTAATATGGCCCAGAAAAATGTGCCACACCAGTCACCAAGACAGAAAAGAGCAAACAAAAAAAGTGCAGTGCAGAAGTAAGTAATCTATTAATAATATAGATCCCCTTGTGTATTTCACATATTGCTTTGTGGGAGACCTGCAATGTTATAAGAAAAATATCTTTGATTAAGAATAGTCATCTTGACAATTTAGTATAAGCATGTGTTTTACCCATGGTGACATCCCAGTAGCTTAAAATTGAATCACATTGAATACTCCCCACGTATCCATTAAAAATATATCTAAATATAGACATAGTAGGAACCATAAATTCAATAAATAAATAAATGAAAGGTCTTCCTAAACAATTAATGGACCATTGGGTTCAAAGGAACAGAATAAAGATAACCTGAAACTAAGCTGATCTCCAAAGCTTTCCCCATAGCAGCTAAAGCTCACAGAAAAGACAATGACATTTTATCTATGTAAGCCAGTGGTACTCACTCAGTGGCTTGTGGAGAGCCACATGCATAATTACCTTCAACCAAAAGAGCGACATGACTATTGCATGCCCTGTGTACCCCCACACCAGACATACACATACAATTTTTAAAGTATTAATATGAAATATATAACAGTTGCATATTTAATACCTAGACTATTTCCTGAGCATGTAGGGTTGTCTCTCCCCACCACTGTTGAACCTGTGTGACCTTCCCTCACTATCTTCTTGTTCTTTCCCTGTCACAAAGCTCACTGTTCAGCTGAGTGCAAGGTGGCCCAGGCTGCTCTGCCTCATCATGGCAGGGAGACAGTGAAAACAGCTGCTAGGGTAGTAGAGGGTGCTCAGGCTTCCTACTGCAAAAACATGCTGTGAGCCAGCCAGCAGCTTTGTGAAGCTTTACTCCCATCCCTGGCACAAGGCCCATAGTCAGGGAGGCTCTCACCTGCCCTCTAGTTCCTCCAGTGGTGCCTGTTCAAGGCGGGAGCCACCTGTCAACCACAGTTCTCTCTGGGTAATGACCTTGGCCACTTTCCTTAAACTTGGTGTTGGGTGCCACATGGGTGAACGATGCTCAGAAGAGCCACGGGTGGGTATGTATTTGTTAGGGTTCAATTAGTCTTAATACAGATTGAAATGTGGGAAGAGGAGATCCACTTTATCACTGGCGCATGCATTGACTTATCAGAATGGCAGTGTGGAGTGTTGGTACAGCCATAGAATGCCAGTGCAATCAATATAAGCAATCAATATGAAATGCAGAGGACGAGTGATAGGTGATAAATCCATTCTTTATGGTCTCCATGTACTTGTGTATGAGCTCTGTGCCTAAACAGAGCACTCTTTGGGGACATGTTGGATTGCTAGTGTAGACCTGAAGCTGCTGCTACCTTTCCTCAGAAGAAGATTTTTGACTCTCTGTGCGTGCTTTAAGACGGCGTGTGCTTTCCTAACTACCATGGAAGTAGCTGAATGGGAGGCATTTTGAGGGATTTCCCCCCCTTCTTGGTAAGCTTTTTGCAATTCCTTATTTTTTCTTAGCTAAGGCCTTTTTATTTTATTTGGCTGTTTTTACCAGGTTTGATTCCCCACTCCTCAACATGCAGCTGCTGGTGGGACCTTGGGTTAGTTACAAGTTGTTTCAGAGCTGCTCTCAGGAGCAGTTTTCTCAGAGCTCTCTCAGCCCCACTTACCTCACAAGGGTGTCTGTTGGGGGGAGGGGGAGGGAAGGAAGATTGTAAGCTGCTCTGGGACTCCTTTGGGTAATGAAGGGCAAGGTATAAATCATCATCATTCTTTATTACGGTCATGGACCAATATAATAGAAAACAAATAAGTACAGATAAGGGAGCAATAAAATAATAAAATGTAATGGCATTTAAAATTATAAATAGGAGTCTAAAAAACTTTAAAATACAGAAATGATAAAATCAATATTTAAGATCAGAAATTAGATTTAGACCTATCTGCACTTTATCTCTTTCCTAGTTTGGTATGCCAACCAACCAAATTTGGCAACCATCCTGGTCATCTTTTGATTGTTTCCTGCCAGCATAATTGACAAAAGTATCCTTCTATTACGACCTGGAAAGGAGTTAACTATAGGCTTAATCAAAACTTCCCTAATATTATGATATATAATACAATCGAAAATTACATGTTCCAATGTTTGATCAGTCCCCATCCCACATATACAACTTTTCTTCAGTGATCTAGTAAATCTGGCCTCCATTATGGCTGAGGGTAAAGTGTTGTATCTTAATAGGGTAAAAATTCTTCTATGATTGCTGAAATCTAAATATTTGATGTAAGGTCTCAAAACTATCTTGTTAAGTGTACTTACATCAAATACAGGGCTCCTAATCCTGCTCACGTCCATCTGTCGTTCAACATCTAATATTCTTTGTTTTAGAACAGATCTAGCCTGATCATGTCCCAAAGATAGTATAAACTGTTTTGAAAAACCATAACAGGACAGTTTATCTTCTATCTTTTTTCGCCATAAAGGAACAAAGTTATCTTGCATCATAGTATGGGAAAGGCCAGTGGGTAAAAAAATCAGTTTTAACCAGTAATGAAAAGCAGCAATCCACAATCTTGCCTCTACCATAACCAGGCCAGCCTCTAAGCGGATGTCTGTTGGGGGAGGGGGAGGGGGAGGGAAGGGAGATTGTAAGCCGCTCTGGGTCTCCTTTGGGTAATGAAGGGCAAGGTATAAATCCAATCTCCTCTTCCTTGAAAATGTAAAAGCTGGGCAATTTTTCATATGCACCAATGGCACTGCATGTTTCCTTTAAAAATTTCCCTGTATATTCAGGGGTAAAGTGTCATCACAAGCTACCACAATCATGGTTGATTTATTTGGGAGAAAAACAAAAGGTATAGCCATGCTGACCCAGCCATAAGTTTACACTACACACAATGGAATAGGTCTCTTAGACTGTAGGCTTCACTTTCAGGAGGGAAATCTGGCAGCAGATGTCTTGTGCCCAACTGTGAAATCCTAGACTGCAAGTACCAAGAAATATCTCTCTCTCCATCATTCCTGCCAACATTTTCTATATCTCCTCTTACTCCTCTGGAACCATTTTAGTCTGTTTTCTAATTGTGAGGGGAGAGTGAAAATATGACACTCACAACCGTATTTTTCTGTGTGTAAACCACTCTGTTCTTTGCCATTTCCCAGGTCATCTCCCATCCAGGCAATTTATATGGCTAGTCGTGTTTTGGTTTAGTGGAAAAACTGAGTCTACAATCCTGTGCTCATTCAGTTGAAGGCAAAACACATTAAATAAAGCGGGATTTGCTTTTGATTAACCATACATAGACTTGGGTTGCACATAATAATGTTTTAATTTTATAATAATCAATTAATTTTAACTTGTTACCCACCCTGAGCTTTGCAAAGCAGGGGAGAGCAGGCTTAAAGTCCAATAAAATAAATAAATAAATAATGTACTTTTAGTCCATTTCTTCTTTTTTAGTAATGTGTTGTGAGCTGCTATGTAGATAAACACCTTCAAATTGCACAGAATTTCTCCTAAGTTAATAAACAGAATGATACATGTTAGCTAATGACACTAAATTCACAGGACTAATTTCGTTTTTAACGTTTGGTGCATTGAGTGCTGCCTTCCAAAATAAGAATAATGAAATTTGTCATTCTAAAAGTGGCAGCTCTCTGCCTATCAGAGTGTTTTTGCACAGTGACTCTGGCTAAAACCTTGTCAAATACAAACTGCAACTGCACATTTCTTAGCTTTCATATTTTCCCTTTGAATCCTGCAAATCTCTTGATCACAGCACAATTAAAAATAATCACACACACCTCCAAACCTGACAGCTGTGGCGACTAAGGTCAGTTCTTCAGAACTCTGAAGCCAACCACATTTCTGTCCCTGGAGGGAGGGCAACATCCAGAGACTTGGACAAAATCAGCCTTGAAAAATGCAGCCGTCCAGCTCTGAAGGCTTCAACTGGAAATAGAATTTCCAGTTATAATTTGAATACATCCCTTTAAATCTCTTTCCCCCCATCACATCGCCTCCAAGTACATACATAATTCTCTCTCATTTTCTGTTAGATGGCTGTGACAGGCTTCCGTTTTAAACTGACTTCAGAAATCTTTGAAAATGAGAGGATTTCTTTGGGTTGGGAGAAGGCACTGCTGAGTCTCATGTTTTATAGTGCTTTGTTCAATTTCAATTTTGTGGTTCTCTGATTATCCTCCGTAATGGGCTTGTAATAATTTTTAAGGCTGGACCAATAGCTTATTTTGATTCACGCGGTTCATACTGGCCAAACTTACTCTTTTGCCAGCACTCTGCTCTGAGTGGTCTTTCAGTATCCATAGCTCAGTGGGAAGTATAGCATACAAGCTTTTAAAGGTTCAGTGCTTGTTAAAGTAGGGTTGATGGCTCTCCCCCACATCTCCTGTGTTTTCAGCTTAATTTCCTGTGTAATAGGAATTAAATAGGACAATAGTAGCTGGCTGGACATTCCTTGCATAAAATTAGCATAAAGACCATCTTCAGCCTTTTCCCCAGAGGTTTCACGTTACAGCAAATTTTTAAACTTTGTAATAAATCACTGACTTGGAAAATGTAATTGAATTTTTGAATTAAAGCCTCCTTGAGAACCTGTGTTAAAATTGTACAGCTTCCTGCTTGACTGACTTTGCTGCTCCAGATGCCAACATCAATCCCTTTCTATGTAGCTCCAAATACTATTTATAGTAATTCTTTTTTTTTTCTTGGCAGCATCTGTAGTGTGAGCCATCAACAGATTAAAGATATACTGTTTGATCTTTCATATGTTTAACTGGAAGTAAGCGTCACTAAGTTTAGTAGCATTGTCCAACAAGTAAATATGTGTATGATAGGGCTGTGAGTTGGAGAATCTATTATTTTAATTGATTAATAGTGGTACTTTGCTTTTAACCACCAACCTCATGTAGTATGTTGCGCTACATGCAAATTAGTCCTCAGTATACTCTTACAGTTACAGCGGTTAAATGTGTTTTTCTTTGTTTTGTGTATGTGTGTGTGTGTGTGTGTGTGTGTGTGCTGTATAAGCAAGAAATGAACCTTTGAACCATAGATACTGAGATTGGAAGAATATGAACAACATGTGGGTTACAGGGGGAAAGCAACTTAGCTGATGTGCTTCTTTACAGTATTAAACATATACATGCAAACAAAGTAATTTAAGAAAAGTTGGGAAGATGGACTGGAGAACTGGGAGCATCAGTTAAGTTTAAAGGTGTCTAGCCCTGATAGCCCAGGCTATAGCCCTATCTCATCAGGTCTTGGAAGCTAAGCAAGGGTCAGCCCTGGCTATAATTTGGATGGGAGACCTCCAAGGAATACCAGGGTTGTGACATGGAGGCAGGCAATGGCAAACCACCTCTGAATGTCTCTTGACTTGAAAACCCTGTGGGGTCTCTGTAAATCAGCTGTGACGTGACAGTAACAGCAAGAAAAGAGGAGGACTATGTTGTAGAGGCATGGCGTAGTGAACAAGAGGGTTCTGAGGACCTTTGTTTCATGTTGGTCTTACTCTCACTGGTCTTTCTTTAAGATTGAAAATCTTCAGGAACAGTTAAGAGACAAGGAGAAACAGATGAGCAGTTTAAAAGAGAGAGTAAAATCCTTGCAGGCTGATACCACCAACACTGATACTGCCTTGACCACACTGGAGGAAGCACTTGCAGAGAAGGTGAGTAGGACAGAAAGAATAACCATGAGTAAACCTGCATTTTCCCCAGTGTGCAAAGTTTCTTTCTTTTGTGAACTTTGTCATTCTTTTGGTCTAGCAGTTATAAGGAAAGATAACCTCTACTTGGTGCTGGTAGCTTAGCTTAAGCTGGTGCTAAAGGATAAATTGTGTTTCTGGCTAGAGTGCTATCTTGATCTGTTCATGGAAAATATGGCTTCAGATCTGTCAAAATTTATGCTTTCTTGGTTTTTTGAGATACTGCTTTGGAAGGAATTTTATTTACTCGCAGAGATTAAAACGTAGGCTTCCCAGCCCACTTCAGTTAAATCTATCATTCTGCTATTTGAATTACGACTACTTTGTCAGCTTGCAGTATTTGTGCAGAATGAGACAGGATGCTAAGATAAACTGCAAAGTTTGTGAACTTCCAGGATCATTCAGGTTGCTGCTCAAAACAAAATACAAAGTGAATCCAGAGCTAGATAGAACCTTGCTTTAGTGCATTATGCATTCTGTTTCAAATGAGCATGGTCCTTGCTTATTTTTTTAAAACGTATACACTATGATTTAGCAATACAATTAAAATAAAATTAGAAATGTTAAGGCAGCAATAATAACTGAACCAGTGAAAGCAAAAATCCACTTAACCATCAAAAGCTTGGATAAGCAGGACAAAGGCTGCCTGACTCCTAAAAGATGGCACAAGGCAAACAGCAGTTCAGAACAGGTTCAATAAATGTGGTGCAGGCACAGAAAAACCCTGTTTTACAGCAGACACCACCTTTACTTCAGAAGGCAGAGGCACCCCAAATGAGTTCTTGATGGAAGTAGGCAGGCCTCCAAATACCCAGCTTCCTGGTGTTTTTCGTTTAAATCAGTACTGCAATTTGTGTCCAGGAACAGCCAGTGAAAGGCTTTGAGTGCTGTGCAGAGGTGCTCCCTGACTGTGGTGGAGCATTCTTAACCACTTGACTTTGCTGCTGTGATGCACCTCTTCTACTTCCCTCCCTCAGAGGCAAGGTTTTCACTCCTTTTTTCTTTCCCTGTCTAACTGAGCTGCCCTAGCTATCTGTTTTTTTTTCTTTTCTGAAGAAACTATGGCTGTCCCACCCTGTCATAGTCTGATTTTTGCTGCTGGCTCAGCCGAGGAACCCGAGGGAAGGGCTGAGATTGCCCTTCAACTTAAACCACTGAAATTGCCCTTCAACTTAAACCACTGAAATGGCACTGAAGACTTTTTGAAATTCAAAAATAACAAAATATTTTGTTCAACTTAGAGAGCCCAAGACAAAGGTCAGGTGAAATCAGGGGTAAAATTTCAGGGGTAACTCAATAAAGAACTCAGAGGTAAATCAGTATATTGACAGACTTCAGTTCATATATTTTAAGCAATTGAGCGTTTCTTAAGCTTTTCACAGTGACTTAGAATCTTTTAAGATGAGAGGCTTCTATTTCAGTGTTTCCTCAACACACCAGTGTACTTTCTTTGAGTATTCACTGACTCTTTTGGTTTCCAGAAGGCTGGGATACTCTATCCTGTACCAAAACTCCTTCATTAAACATACCAGTACTCTTCTTGAGCTTTACTGACCTTTCTGGTTTCAAAAGGCAGTTTCTAACCATACCAGACCAGGGATCTCTCCACTTTTCAGAGCTACCTCCACTTTAACTGGGTAGTATCCTCAGTATTCAGCTCTCAAGTCTTTCTCTGCTCAACTGGTACTAACCAATCAGGTCTCCTTCAGTGAGGGAAGTCATCCATGGTGGTTAGGTCACACCTACTCTTGCTCAGGTAGGGCTATGCAAATTTTGCAAGGATCCCTATTGGAGAGATTGTAGGCTAACGCTCCAGGGTAGATAGCCCTGCTGCTCAGGTAGGAGGCTCAAGTTCTGCTGCACATGAAAAGTCTGAAAACCTTTTTAAAAATTTCCTGTTCCTTGAAGACTTCAGCCAACAGACTTAGCAAGCTTTGGAGCCTGGAGCACCCACAGCAGCACCAGCCACGGAATTGACTGCAGTGGCAAAAAAGTATAAAGAAGCCAAGGAAAAGCCCCCCACCCAGCCCAAAGCTTTGGGTGGCAGAGAAGTGGCAAGGGAAAGCCCCCTCCTCCAAACTCTGGCACTGTGAGGAATTAGCCCTTCACAGTCCATTACCTGTTTACACAGCACTTATAAGATTTTAAAGTGCAGTCCATCACAGCTCCATATTGGTTGGTAGTTTCTAAAGATTTTTTAAAACGCAATTTCATATATAACATTTTACAGGAACCTTGCTTGTATGTTAAGCTGTGAGTAACTACGATGAGATCATTCCTTGTTCAGGAAGGAATGCAGCTGGTATAGCAGCCAAGATTAATTAAATATGCTACAAACTACAGATGCCACCTGGGTGTCCAATAAAGTACTGTAGAATCCAACAGTACTCACAACCTGATCTTTAAGGCAGAATGCAACCCCATTATCACTGATGGATCACCACCTCCATGGTCCAGCAAGTTACTAAGTACTACCATCTTCTCTGGACTCAGTGTATTAGTCCTTGTCCATCCCGTTACCAGCTCTGGGCTGTAAAATATGGGCACAGACTAGTATGTGTTTTTAGAATGGAGTGGGGGTGAGTTGAATACTTATCTTCTCAGAGTTAAGAAGCTGTTCAATCTGCTCAGAGCAGAGATTGTATTGACCAAGTGCTCTGTTTTATCAGGAGCGTACTATCGAGCGCCTGAAAGAGCAGCGTGACAGAGATGAACGAGAAAAACAGGAGGAGATTGACAACAATAAGAAAGATATTAAGGATCTAAAAGAGAAAGTCAGCACGCTGCAAGGAGATCTGTCAGAGAAAGAGGTAGGCCTGCTGGACAACAAATATGTATAAAGCTTGAATTTACAATGTTATTTCATTAAAGCTAAAGGTAATAGTTTTCTTGGGTGTTTATTAAGGTTATACCTTGAAAATTGAAATGGTCAGCACTAATACCTTAAGCAAATGTCTTTACATGATTATTTTACATTAAGTAAAAACATAATGCTACCTCTCTGAATTTAAATACCTAGGTAATCAGAGTCTCAAGATCATATGTGCAAGGGAACTGTAAAAGGTGGAAGGATTTGTCAGATTTTTGGCTTTAGAGTTACCAGTCTAAAGTAATTAGTATTAAATCACTATATTTGAATAGATCATGTAGCACATAAATGAAGGAAAATGTATTTAGAGGGAAATGCATTATTACAATTTGATTCTAAATCAGCATCTTGGGATAGGTTAAATTAGCCTGTAACTGAATCAGCAGAAGTATTTATTGTCTCAGCTTGTCTCTAGTTAATGAAGTTAGTTGGCATACTTAAGTATAAAATAGTTGAATATTTAAAATTTTAGGGGTTTCTTTTCAAATACAACCTGGTTGCTACAGAAATGCCCTTTAAAAGTAGTCACCAGTTCTATTACCAGCTCTGAATTTGGTGTAAGGCAGATTGACAGATAAGCCGCTACCATTCCCTTGATTTGAATTTAGTGAATGAGGCTGTAGTGTTCCCTATTCTCGGTTTGTGCTTTTCCTGCAATAGAATAAACTCTGGGTCAGCATCCTATTTTATATGGCTGCAGTGGAACTCTGTGGTTTGACACGAATCTGGAACTATATAATTATTTGTCCCTGCACAAGGAATTGGGGGGAGTGCAATTCCATTCTCAGCCATGTAGCACCAGCCAAAGGTCTTAATACAGAAGGAAATCAAAATAAAATAGATGGATGAGGTGACAAAAGAATTCTGGAGCTGGAGCTGAACTGTCTAGTTCTGTGCATACTCTTTTATGCATTTGCAGATATGTTTATTTATATTTATTCCTTTTGTTGATAGGCTGCATTGCTGGACCTGAAGGAGCATGCCTCATCTTTAGCATCATCAGGATTGAAGAAAGACTCTAGGTTGAAATCACTTGAAATTGCCTTGGAACAGAAAAAGGAAGAATGTTTGAAACTGGAATCTCAGCTAAAAAAGGTAAATGCTATAAGCTCTTGTCATTTAAAAATGGAACATGGAGATCTATTTGTAAGGGTTGCCATTCTTTTAATTACTACCTTCCACCCTGTGCAGTGGTGATAGAAGATACACTGAGGGACTCACAGTGGCATCTTAAGCATCCTTCTAAGCCCATAGGATGGCACTGTTAAACATCCTCCTTCAACACCTCTGAGCATAGTGTGAAGAGGTGTACAGGTATCCCCCCCCCCCCCGAAGCTTCATGTGGTCTGAGTGAGATTACAGCTCATGGGGAGAAATATGCCTCTTCACATAGTCACTGAAAGTATGAAAGAGGATGCTTAACCCCCTTGTGCATCCTCTGTCTTTATTTCCTTATATTTTACTTGGAAGCAAATTAGAAAGTAAATGCAGTGAAGGGTAGGGTCTTCAGAGTAGTATCGTCAGCAAAGCAGTAATAACTTAAATTCAAAAAATTAAACTGTTTTGACTGAGCAAGGAGCATACATGGCTGTGCTTAAAAGTACTGAATAACTTGTGTTTATTGTGTCATTGTAGAATGTGTTCACAATGTGACTGGGTAAAAAAGAAGTAATTAAAAATAACCATAAAAGCAGTGTGGTGGTAAAAGAAGGATAACCAAAAAGGGGTTGTTTATAAAACATTGTTCATTCATTCAGTGCATCACTACACAGTGGGTTGGGTCCAGCCAGTTTTTCCACTAGTGAGAAAGGAAGGAAATGTTTCCCTTTGACCATCCAAAAAAGTTATACCAAGGACCATGGGACGTGCATGGACTGAAAGGCATGTGGGATAGGGCAGTAGTAAGGAGGGCAATTGATGAGATTGAGTTTTTAAAAGCTGGCTGATCCAACCCAGTTTTAAAAATCTGATTATTCTCTTCTATTTGAAAGCCTTGAAATACATTATTTCTCTGAATGTTGTCTTAGTGCTTAGTCCTGATGCAGAACCTCTGAATTGTTCTATTTTTGAGGAGCTGCTTGTGGCCAGGTCTATTCCAGAATGTTTGAGAGGTAGTAGATAGGCTACCTATATACATTATCAGACCTTACCTCTTTTTTGGCCACATGAAATAACCAATCATGAATCAACCAAGGTCAGTCTGACTCTATCCACCTGCCGGTGGGGCTTCAAGAAATGCCCCAAAGTTGCCCCAGAAGCCAGGGCTGAATGGTTGGAACAAGGAAGGAAGATCAGACTGGTTGCCTGAATGTCAGAAGCATCTGATTCTGCCCACCTTCTAAACTATCCAGTTGAACTGGTGCCCCGTTGCCTGGCTTTGGATAATAACCATATTTGGAAGCATTTGAGATAAGATTGTGCTTCATCCATTTGCTGAAATTATCTTGGAGATGTTTATCATAGATGCAGAGTTTCTTTTGGCCTTCTGTGATTCCCAGTAAGGGAATTTTTGATAAAATTGTCAAGAGAGTAGAATCTGAATCTGTATCAGAGCTCAAAAATCAAAAATGCAAGTGAAGCTGGCAGAATAAAAAAAAGAAACACTTTAAAAGGATATATGGAACACCAGCAGAAGAACATAGAATTTCCAGGCATCAGTTTACATCAGAAATACTTCAGTTTCATTATTCTATATTAGGCCATTTTGAGTTTTTGAGAAAAGCAGGGCAAGACTCTTTACTTGATCCAAGTTCCTTAAAGAATTATTTTATATAATACTTCAATAGGGGTTTCAAGGCCCAGTGGTTTCTTGATATGACATTGAAATGGAATGTTCATAGTACTGGCAACTTATGAAAGGTTGGCAGCTCTGTTATGTAGGGAGCATGGCTCAGTGGCAGACCCCATGTTCAATACCAAGAATCTCCAGTTTAGGCTTGCCAGACCCCCCGGTTTGGTGGGGGTTGCCCAATTTGGTGGGGCTCCTTCCTGCCCACCTGCCAGCTGGTGGGCGGGGGGAAGCCCCACCCCCAAGAGTGACCACCTGGCCTCCTCCCCACCTCTTCCCAACAGTGTTTAAAGACATCCACTGGGGAGAGGAGGGGGCTCGGAATGCAGGCACACGCGGCCTCCCCCCCACCTCTCCCCAACAGCGTTTAAAGGAAGTCTTTAAATGCTGCTGGGGAGAAGTGGGGGCCATTCAGCTGCACTCCAAGCCCCGAATTCAGGGCTCGGCCTGCAGGCACATGCGGCCTCCCCCCATCTCTTCCCAGCAGGGTTTAAAAAGACCCTTTAAACATTGCTGGGGAGAGGCAGGGGCCTCCACTTCTCAACGTGATAACGTCACTTGCTGGGGACTCCTTATTTATGTATTTATTTATTTATTTTTCATATTTATATCCCGCCCATCCCATAAATGGGCTCAGGGCGAGTTACAACCCTACTCCAGTTAAAAGGACTAGGTAGTAGGTGGTGTGAAAGACCTCTGCTCTAAACCCTGTAGAGCAACTGCCTGCCAGAGGAGACTGACCTTGGTAGACAAATGGTCTTATACTCAGTATATAAAGCAGCTTCATGTTTTCATGTATCTGTTGGCTGGACTGGGCTGCTTCAAACAGCATGCCATGACAAAGCAAAAAGCCTAACCTCATTGTTTCCCTCATTTCATCACTTTGTATGTACACCACATGGTCCTATTGAGTTTTTTGATGTCTATAAATGTTAACTAGAAGCAGATAAGAAACTGCTTGCTTCAAGCTGAAAGCCTACAAAAAGATGTAAACTTAAGTATAAAAATTGATTATTATTATTTTTTTCATTTTACATTTATCCATTTCATTTTGGGTATATCTTATTCAGATTCTCTCTGTAGGGAACTAGAGATGTAAATTTTCTTGGAATTCCAAAGACATGGAAAAAAGTCTTCTCTGGGAAGGGAATATATGTAATAGCTCTTTATCTGGCATAATCATCAAAAAGAAAAATGCATCATTTATAACTTAGCAAGTAAAAGTGTGCTATGTATGCAACTTAAAAAGTATAGTTTTCTACAATCAAAATTACAAATACACCCAATACTAAAAACAAAGCTGCAAGCTAAATTGGCACACTGTGTGTTACTTTTACCAATGAATTTTAGTTTTTGCTGTCTAAGAAGCAGGAAAAAACAAAAGTTGAAAACAAAATACAAATTTTGTAGCAGTGAAAAGAAAATATGTTTGGACTGAAACGATCTCATGCAGTCATAATAGGGCTAGTGACATATTTGGATACAGAGTTAAGCTTTGAGCATTTTAATATTATTAATTGTAACATGAAGAAGGAGGTGGAGGAAGATGAGATTGGATTTATACCCCACCCTTCACTACCCGAAGGAGTCTCAGAGCGGCTTACAATCCCCTTCCCCTCCCCACAACAGACACCCTGTGAGGTAGGTGAGGCTCTCTCTCCAGAACTGTCCTTGAGAGAACAGCTCTGAAAAAAATTATGACTGACCCAAGGTCACACCATAGCTCCACATGCATGTAGGAGTAGGGAATCAAGCCCGGTTCTCCCTCCCAGATCAGAGTCCACACTATTAACCAGTACACCAAACTGGCTCTCTATTTAAACAATAAAAACATACTTGAAAATGTTCTTGTTCACAAAACACACAGGAAATCATTCATTAAAGATACTAGATTGTTCTATATTTAAAACAACATAATATGCATTCCAAGTGAATAAAGTATCTTAAAAGGTATTTCACTCAATCTAAAAGATTTACATTTTTTTCAGTGTTTCCCACTATTTTCTGCTTCTTCAATTTGGAAAAAGGCCTGGGGCTGGAGGGCAGGGGACATTTTTAAAAAATCCCTGATTTTTTTTATTGTCAGGTACTTCACAACTCTTCCAAGAACTCAAGTACCTTATAAATTTTGAAGCATGGCATGAGTGCAGGTTTCTGTCAGTAGGGAGGTGGAGCGGCTTAACATGCCTTGTCAGTGTACCCATGGCACAAAACCTCAATTGTGTTGCATTTCAGTCATTCCATTGTATGTGTGGTTTCATTCATTAAGATAACCTTTTGTATTGGAAAATGAAGCATTCTGAAATAGTCCTCAGTGGTGTTCTCTTCCATCACACTGTATACAAAGATAATTTTATATGTTCTGTATCCAGCCATTCATATATTCATGAATTTAAACATTCAGTCAGACCATCAGGTTGTTTTTGATCATCTGGAGCTGAACCCAGTCATGTTGTCAAACTGTTTTCCATAATCTTACTAGGCTAGTACTTATGAAATGGACAGACATAAGTAATCCTAAATATCTTTAAATTTTTAAATACAATGACATTGATCTGTTGAAAGCATTTGTTTTCTGAATGGTTCTGTAGCTGCTAATTAGTATGTAATGTATAAAAATAGATTATCCAATGGTACGTTTCTTACCTGAATGGTAATTGAAACAGACAAGGAGGCCAGTGTCAAAAACATTTAAATTTCTGAGATTAAAATCCTGGATATACAATTGGTTACTTTTTTCTAAGGTGGTTTGTGTGTTACATCTCTGTCTCTCTCTGTCTCCCTCTCTCTGTCTCTCTCTCTCTCTCTCTGTCTCTCTCTCTCTCTCGCATTGTTCTGTTTCCCAATTCTTCCCTTCTTTTCCTGTCTTTCTCCTTAGCATCCTGAAGTCTTATTGAGTCACCCATCCAAGCCAGTAAGTTCCATGACAAACTGGAAGGTCATTGCCAGCCCCATTTGGTTGTCTGTTCTGCATGTATATACACTTGTGTCTTTGTATTCCTTGGCCAACACACAGTATATTGGTGACCTCTTTTATGGGCATGCAATGTAGAGGGCAGAGGGAGGGTAGAATGGATACCGAGCAAGTCCTGCATTTTAAAGTCTAGGGAATTGCTTCTCTTTTGCAGCTTCTCTCCAGTTTTTCCCCCATGTAGATTACCCACTGTAGTTCTTCTACCCCACTCTGTTCCTTTCCTTAGCTGCTTTTCTGTTCTGAAGCTTTTAAATCATGTTGGTTATCTATGAAGAAATTTGAGGATGTGTTATAATCTCTATACAAAGAGTATTTTGGGTAACTTGGCAACTACTGAAAGATATTACTTGAATTAAAGTGATGTTCTTTTGGTAAAAAATTTCATTCAAACAGGATTGGACGTGGAGGAGAAATTTAGTTACTGTTCACTTGAAAGACAGTGGAAGGGATTGGCTAGAGAAATGCGGAGATTGTGTAGCATATGAGACTGCTTAAAAGTATATGCCAAGGGGGATTGAGTTTGGGATAGAGGATAGATGTTGAGTTGGCATAGGAATTGAGGACTGAGTGGTTAGTAAAACTCATGAAGTCATAATTCTGGATTTCCTCTTTCTATTCCATAAACATAAAGAACATCGTGTGTGAACCTTGATTAAGGTTGTGAACATAAAAGTTAGCTGAATCCTGTTAAGCAGAGAGATACAGCAGAACTTCCTGCAAGGTTTATTTTATGTTTGAATTAGCAGACTACCACCTCAATAGAAAACAGGGGGAAAATGTTTTTAAAAGATATTTAAAAGCATAAGATTGTTTATTTGGCGACTAGGGACTAGGATCTGGAAAAAGAAATCTGAGGAATAGTTATGGCTACTGCTTACTCGCACGTGGTGGGGCGGGGGCGGTGGGTGGGTGGATGATGCACGTAGAAAAGCCACTTCTCAGACATGGAGGGGCCAGAAGTCAAATGGCTTCCGGCATCTGTCTCCTCTCCTCTGGGCTGAACAATTGCAAAAGGTGGGGGGGGGGAGGGACTGGGATTTAAAAGTAAAAGAGGGAACCTGCAGATTGTGAACTCACTCCCACCACACAAGGATTCTGTTTTTAATTTTTATGGAGAAGAAGTGGGGCTTTTTCAACCGCTGCAAGGGTTGCGGCAGTAAACTCGCTCCTCCTGACCGCCACACCCTCTGTATTTTTTGTTTGGGAGAGTCTCACCAACCTGAATCTTGTTGGCACTGTGCTAGGTTTTCGAACCAGACACGAAAAAACCGAGCTGCGCGCCTTAAAGTGGCGCTTCTTGAGTCAGTGTTACATCCTCCCTCAGTGATGGAGTCTGAGAGACCATCGACATCGACGGCTCCGGCATCGAGGCCCTCCTCCGACATCGGCCAACCGACGTCAAACCCACCAGCATCAAAGGCGCAATCCTCCGCTTCCACTCCGGTGAAGAAGAGGGCCAAGTGAAGTAAGGAGCATAAGTCCGCAAAAAAGAGCTCCTCTAAGTCCCTAAAGGCGGCAAAGAAGGGGAAGGTAGTGGTGTCTGCACTGGGTGATGCCCCTAAAGTGCCTCCCGCTCCACCGGCAGTATCGGCATCGGAGGCCCATGACGCTCCACCAATACCGACCATTCAGCTCCTGGATTCCCCTATACAACAGCTGGAGTGTCCTTACTCCGATATCGAGATGGTGGAGCTCCTTAGTCGTCCCATGGATGCAGAGCCTTCTCCCTCTCCTTCCCCATCATCGACATTGACGGTGTCAGAGGCTCCCAACATCGATTCACGTCGGAATCGACATACCTCTAGCAGCACGCAGCGTCACCCTCCACGTCTGCTTCTTGAACCTGTCAATATTGATGACCGAGTTTATAGGGACTGCTGTCAAAGGCAGGCTAATGCTTTGTCTCCGAGACGTACCCGATCCAGAAGCCGATCCCCCCGAGTCTTTCTACCCCCACCCCCACCTCTGTCTTGGGACCAACGCCAGCTGAGGTATCTCTATGGGGGCTATCAACCATCCATGCCATGGTTGACTCCGGCGGGCTATTCCGACTGGGATCGTTACTCGACCCACTCTGCCCACAGACCAAGGTCGCCCTACAGATCTAGACCTTCAGCATCTCTATCTTGTCCTCCGTCCGGCGAACCTTCCCACCATAATCCGGAACTCAATCATCCTCCCAACCCCCAAGTCATTCCACCAATTATTTTAACCAGTCAAACGGAAATCACTCCGGTCCAAATTCCAGATCACGACTCCTCTGATTCTGCAAAAGAGGATTCTGATACTGAGGCCTCTGAGGCTCACACCTCCCCTGACCACAAGTCTCCTAACCAAGCTGTCGCAGATGATCCAGCTATATCCCCATCCGACAATCTCACTTCCTATGCAGACCTCGTCAAGAGAATGGCCCACTCTCTAGGCTTGTCAGTAGTTCAACAACAACCATAGGTTACAGATGCCGTCTTCGATATCGTGCAACTGGATGCCTCCACTACCATAGCACTGCCCATGTCTACGGTCCTTTTACAAGCTGCAAAAGTACCTTGGGAGAAGCCTTCATCAGCCCCAGTGTCAACAAGACGCCTGGACCACATGTATAGAATCCAGGAGACTGGAGCCGAATTTTTATTCTTCCACCCTCAGCCAAACTCGGTGGTTGTAACATCCTCGTCCAAGTCCAAACGAACACACTCTGTACCTTCTGACAGGGAAAGTAAAAAATTGGATGCGTTTGGGAAACGCTTCTACTCCACGGGAGCGTTGGGCGTGAAAACCACAAATTACTTAGCCTGCATGAGCAGGTATCAATACACTCTGTGGGAAACGTTCTCCGAACTCCTGATTCACCTCCCCGAAGACAAGCTTCAGGCAGCCAGAGTTATTCAGAAGGAGGGCATGGTACTCGCGAAACAGCAGATCAACACTTCCAAACATGCCCTAGACGCTTCCTCAAGAACGATGGCCTCAGCAATAGCTCTAAGGAGGCATTCCTAGCTCCGTAATACCAATCTTCCACAAGATACTATGTCTTATGTCGATGGCCTTGGTCTCTTCAACAGCACTACCGATACCATACTCCAAGATATGGATAAGAGCATAAAGGCTTCT